GCAAGCTGAAGCACTCGCATATACTTTCATGCAAAATTCATTTATGCCTTCTCTTTAATCCAAAGATTATATAAATCATTTATGCATAATTCACTGCAGGAAGGTGACACCGTTAGCACACCTTCTGCTCGTCTTATCAAACCAATAAATCAAGGTACAATCGACATTCCAAACCCTCATTCAATAAAAAACCAACAAAAATTTGTATATCTGATTTTAGAAATGTGGTAATTTTATTTGTGTCTTACTTGAGTCCTTGTATTCTTTCCAGACAGTGCCGACATTAGAGAACCTGCAATTCTCGACAAGCATGAAGAAGAAGAAGAAGAAACCGATCCTAGTCAGTGCACAGCTGGATCATCATTTAGACTGTCTTCACCTCCTCCCATTTCGTCCAGCTCAGCTTTTTCAGGTGAAGCAAAGAGAAAAGCGATAACCGAGGAAGTGAAATGTACAAAAGAGAAAAGTGATAACCGAGGAAATAATAATGGAGAAAATAGCACGAGGGCCAATACTGATTCTGCTCAGACTACGACCGAACCTGCCACCACTGAAGTTGCAGAAGACCTTAACTCAGGTTGTTCTCTAAAGAAAAAGAATAAGAATATAGAAAGCGAAAGAGCAACTCTGAATTCTGCTCGTTCAGACACACTTGAGGCGGCGGTTATGGATTTGGAGGAATACGTAAACAAGGTTAAATGGCTAAAGAATATTCTACATAACGGGATTTCGTCTTCTAGCGGCGACGCTTCTAGAAGGTCTCGGTGGGAGTTTGTGGATACCACTACCAAGTAAAATGTGTAAGAATTTCGTTGTGCCTTTATAACTCCTCGACTTTGGAGGTGATAATCCGGGAGCCTTTTTTTTTTTTAAATATATAGAATGGTTCTTGGCTCCATTTCTGTACAAAATTATAATTTTCTTATAGATAGAGAGTATTGAATTAGTTAAATGTGGCCCAGGTTTTAGTTAACTGAAATTTATGTTTTTCTGTTTGATGAATTGGTCAACTGGATTTATGTCATGAGTTCATATGAATGTGCTATTTGTTTCAATTTTGTTAAAAAAAAAAGATAAAAAAAAAGAGAGACCAAGTACGAAGAAATATTGTTTGCATGTTTTTAATTTGGAACTTGTATCTTTAACAGGGTGGTTTCGTTTCTGATAAATTAGGGGTCCTATGCGAGTTTTAAGAATTTGTAAAAATTATTCCCTATTTGTATTGTATAATGTACACATTAATTCATTAAGGAGCACGATTGGATAAGAATTTTTTTATTAGCATTTAAGAATTTTGGAGAAAATAATCAAATATGATTAAATATCGACGAAGTTTAGGTAAATTAAAAGTTTTCGGGGTTAGGTGCAGAGTCCCAAAGTTTTTTTTTAAAATAATCATAGAAATATTATTAAACAAGTAAATATACGTAAATTTGTTTGAATATAATATATCAACTTGTCGAAAATCTTTGAAGTTTGAGTTAGACAATGTAGATTATTAAATAAAATGCTAACAATTGCTGGGAAAAAAAAAAGTTCAACATCTTGAAATAGATATAGAAAAACTCAATATCTAATTATTTATAATTGATCTAAGACATTTCATTTAAATTAAATGTTTGTATTAACTATTAATTTGCAATAGATCATTAAATATGAAAATAACAAGGAAGTGACCAAAATATTTGAAATTTTGAGAGTCAAGTTTCTAACTTTTTAGAAATTGCAAAATAGCTCATAAAGTATCCGGCATGCGGCAGGTGTTTTCGAGTTTCCGACACGAAACGTATCCGAAACGCGGAAACGTTAAGATAGTAGCGATCGAATTTTTGTACACATTACAAGAATACTATATTTTGTCTTTTCTATTCGGCCAACCAAAGGATCAAAGAACAAACCAAAGTATTTATCCAACCTTTTTTAATTCCAAAATGTGCCCCAATTTGTTTTCTACCATGAAAATTATCTCTATTTAAATATCAAACTAATCATTTTATTAATTATGATTTAAAAATAATAATAATTAAAAAAATAAAAAAATGGCAGCCTATTCTCTCCACTCTAGCTACAGCCTACTATCCTCGAGAAGCTCAACAGCGTCGCCCACTCTCAACACATGCACGGTCCAGCATCCACGCGCCGCCCTCAGCCGCCTCCACGCGCTCCTCCACTCCGCCGCCGTCTCCGCTCTCCTCTACTACAGAATCTCCAACCTCGTCCGCGGCGACGTCCCGCTGCTCTCCTGGGGTCTGATCAATCTCTCCGAGCTGATTTTCACCTTCGTATGGACTCTGACTCAGGCCTTCCGGTGGCGTCCGGTGGTGCGCGCGGTGGCGCCGGAGAATCTCCCCCGGGAGGAAGAGCTTCCCGGGGTGGACGTGTTCATATGTACGGCCGATCCGAAGAAGGAGCCGGTGGTGGAGGTGATGAACACGGTCCTGTCGGCGATGGCGCTGGACTATCCGGCGGAGAAGCTGGCGGTGTACTTGTCGGACGACGGCGGCGCCGCCGTGACGTTGTACGCAATGAAGGAGGCGTGTGGGTTTGCTAGGGTTTGGGTGCCGTTCTGCAGGAAATATGGGGTGAAGACTCGCTGCCCTGAGGCTTTCTTTTCTTCTTTCGGTGATTCCGAAAGGGAGCTTCTTCTCCACGGCGGTGATGAATTCACGGCGGAGGAAGATCAAATCCAGGTAATTAATTTTTATTATTTTTTTTAAGGGTGTCCTCTTATTAAATATTTATTTTTCTGAGGGCCTAAATGCAATTTACACTATTTATATTATATGCATGAGCGTGACCATCGGAAATAAGTTTCTGAATTACGCCGATTTCGACCCAAAAGAATTCGATTTTTTCATTTTGAATCCCAAGTTTTTTATTACATCCAATTTTAATTTCACAATATAATTTCGATTTTTTATTTCTTCGAAAATGATATTTATAACATTAATATTTGGGTAAATTACAAACATCCCCGGAGGTATGGTCAATTTACAAAAAAAAACCTCTTGTTTGGATAATTATATCCACCCCTCAACTATGATTTTTTCTTACACCTCCACCCTTATATTTCAACATAATCATCTAGATTTCGTGGAATGTGCTCTAGTTTGTACTCGTTTTGAGTAAAAATACAGTTTCTGATGCACCACAATCTAATATATACAAGCCAAAAAATACATATTATAATCATCTTGCTTCAAAATGTAAAGTTCGAACAGGATAAAACGGGTACAAAAGTGATAATATTCCATATAATCTCGAAGATTCCACTAAATTTGAGGAGTTGAGGGGGTGGTTGTAATTATCCAAATAAAAGGGGTTTTTTCGTAATTTGACCGTACAAAACATTAGTGAATTACAAAACACTAATGTTTTGTAATTTACCCTTAATATTATTGTGTATACAAAACATTAGTGAATAAAAAATATAGAACTTTGGAATCTCACCGATGCTACGATCGGAAAACTTAAATGTTTTACGGAGCAATTGTTTTCATTCCAATGTTCGATTTATTTTTTAATATTTCTCGTACATAATTGGAATTAGTTTGTCGTTTATGCAATAATCTAAAATTTGTTCGCGTTAATTCCGACTCGATCAGATCTAAATCGGTTCGATTTCAACCCCATAATTATACCACACGTAAGAAAAATTAGCATCGATAGCTCAAACGAAGATGAAAAGCCGAAAAAAAACCCATGGAAAATAGAATATCTTTTCGCTTACTATTTTCTATAGACACAAAATAAAAATCAATTATTCCCCTTTCTAATTAAAGAATATATTAATTATTATACAATATTGCATTTTTTTTTTTTTTTGCAGACAAAATATGAACATTTCAAGAGAAATGTGGAGAAGGCTGCTGAGTTAGAAAACGACGTAAACGACGACCGCCCTCCTTACGTCGAGGTAAACGTTCTCATTTTCAATTTTTTTTTTTATCTTCTTAATATTAATTAAAATGTGTTTTTAATGCATATACAAAAACATTAGATTTTAGATTTCCATTTTTTAAATCTCCATTTGTGTTGCAGGTGATATATGACAACAAAAACAATGGAGGCACAATGAATGATATCTCCAAACTGCCACTTCTCGTTTACGTATCCCGCGAGAAAAGACCGTCTCGCCCTCATCGCTTCAAAGCCGGAGCACTTAATGCTCTCGTAAGTTGCCAACTCACTTCAACTTTTTTTTCTTCTTCTCAATTAGGTGTTTAATTTATTCTCGTATTTTATACAAAAGTCTTATTTTTGTAGCTTCGAGTTTCGGGGGTAATGAGCAATGCTCCATATGCACTAGTGTTGGATTGCGACATGTATTGCAACGACCCCACATCGGCCAAGCAAGCAATGTGCTTTCATCTCGACCCTAAATTATCGGATTCGCTCTCGTACGCACAATTTCCTCAAATCTTCTATAATGGTAGTAAAAACGACATTTACGATGGCCAAGCAAGAGCTGCTTATAAGGTGCATTTATAACTATTTTCCCATTTTTTGCTTTTTTTTTTCCAGTTCTAATTAATTAGTTTGGTATTATTATTATTAATTTGTTAATTCTTGAATTTTATTTGATAGACCAAGTATCAAGGCATGGATGGGATAAGCGGCGCAGTTTGCGCCGGTACCGGTTACTACATCAAGAAAAAGGCCTTGTATTGTAGCCCTAATCAAGAAGGTATACTCGGAACGAGAGTAGAGAATTTGAAATTCATCGTAAAATGGATTCATTCAAATTAACGAATTTTCGACCCAAATGAAGCGCCTAAGAGACATTTTATTTTTAATTTCTTTTGTTTCCGACAGATGAGTTCCTTCGAGAGCCACAAAAGAACTTCGGCTACTCGACAAAGTTGATCTATTCAGTATCAACACTTACCCACAAAAGTGTGAATAATAATCAAAGGGAAACTTTATTAGACGATGCAACCGTCGATGAAGCCAAGAAACTAGCATCTTGCACGTACGAACAAAACACCAAATGGGGAAAAGAGGTAATTAGCGTCTTAAGACAATCTTATATGGCTAATTAATCAGTGGTGGAGCCACCATAGTGCCGCAGGGGGGGCCACAACCCCTATTATAGTGCCGCCCCCTAGTGTTGTTTTTTTTTTTCCCTCTTATAATTAATCAAGAAAATAACTATTAATTCGACAGATTGGTTATTCATACGATTGTTTGTTGGAGAGCACGTTCACCGGATATCTATTACACTGCAAAGGGTGGAAATCCGTGTATCTCTACCCCGACAGGCCGTGTTTCCTTGGATGCACCACAATCGACATGAAAGACGCGCTTGTTCAGCTCATGAAATGGGCTTCGGGCCTCGTTCAAGTCGGGCTTTCAAAATTCAGCCCGCTCACTTACGGGATGTACAATATGTCCGTGCTTCAAAGCATGTGCTACGGGTACTTTGCGTTATCGCACTTTTTGTCGGTTGCGTGCTTTTTGTACGGAGTAGTTCCTCAACTATGCTTCCTCTATGGAGTCCCTTTGTATCCGAAGGTAAATAATTATTTGAATTATTTTAACCCTTTTTTCGTGCATGCAAAAAGCTCGTATATTGCGATTCGTCGGTTGAATTTATTAAATAATAATCTTTTTTTCTTTTAATTTTTTTTCCAGGTGACAAATCCGTGGTTTGCGGTATTCGCAGCAGTGTTTTTCTCTTCGATGGGGCAACACGCGTACGAAGTTTTCTCGAGCGGCGGTACGATGCGAACAATGTGGAACGAACAAAGAATCTGGATGATCAAATCAGTGACAGCCTGTCTTTTCGGATGCCTCGATGTTCTAATGAAATACATCGGGATTGCCAA